GCACTAGGACATCTGGGATGAGCTCTATCCCATGTTGTTGAAGCCCACTCGCTGGAACTCTGAGAATGAGATTCAGGGATCAATCAGCAATTGAGTATCCAAACTGGGATGAAGAGAGCACCTCTAGTCTGCAGCCTGTTAGCATAAAGACTTAGTGTTCTGGCATTTATCTTTTCTGTGACAGCAAGGATCTTTATTGCTCAGGATTTGGGCGATAATAGCAGACTTAAGCATGTTTATTTTATCTCTTGATTGAATCTGGTAAGTAAAAGCTGTAAAACAAATCACACTTGAAAGATCGTGCCCGAACATAAAGGATTGCTGTAACTCTACTGCTATTCGTCTTCAATATGCGTTATGAGCCTCAGCCCTCTCAAATTATCTGATCACTTTTTTGGGGGGTTTGAGTAACGCATGGCAGGCTGGCAGTTCATGCTGCGTTTGTGCTTGTCGCCGTGTCATAGCTGTGCAATCACACGATCCCGCGCTGCTGTGGAAGCTGTTTGTCCAGCGATCCAACCATTATCAGAAAGCCACAGCAAGCAGGAGCCCAGGCTGGATACACAGGGACAGGACTGAGAGCACATGACTGCTGTCCCCATGGATGGGCAGATTTCCCAAGAGGCACTGTAGGCACAGTGCCTAGGGCCGACAAAGTTTTAGGGCCTACGAAGGAGGGAAACACTAGTGACTGACGAGAAACGAGCTGAAACAACGTGCTTGCGAGCGACTCTAGGTGCTCCAAATCACTCATCATATGCTATCCAGCGGCCGTTCTAGAAGTATCGAAGTGATGGGCGCTCGGCTCGCTCCATCAATCGCGCGGTTTAGCATTCGAATAGCTGAAAGTGCAGCGTGTCAATCAACGCCATTCAATTGGCGTTCAGCCCTCTTTTTGCACATCTGCATGGAGTGAGAGGGCCTGGGGCCAAAATCCGGCCCTGCCAATGGGACACCAGTCCACTGCGGGGCCACCCAGGATGGTGGCCTCCTGGAACTTCTGGAAGAACACGCATACGCTACGCCATGCCAGGACGCAGGTGCAGTGAGACAGTGGCCCTGGAATGCCATTCCCCCCTGCTGAGGAGCCCAATACATAGTGCCCCACTCCTTCTGTATCAGGTCCCACTGCTACAGGGACAATGGTTTTTCTCACTTCATTCCCCGACTGTGTGTCCCTTTCTCTCTCGTTCCCCAATAACTGGACCCTTCTTTCCTCCCCGCTCCCCCAGAACAGCGTAGCCGTTTCATTCCGTTCCCTCTTCCCCTGCTCCCCGGGGTCCTGTAGGTCCGGCATGATCCCTGACGCTGAATGCTTGACAGACGGGATCATTCAGCTAACGGAGACGAAGGAGCACACTGCAAAGGTTTTGATTCACTTTCTCCTGTGAGGCACTGGAGCGTCCCTTACGGTCTGCCTGCGAAGTAGACCCCAAGGCACACAGAACACTGCGACTGGGGCGGGGAGACTCCTCTGACTGGGGCCACAGCATTGTTTTCTCATGGTCCTGCTTCCCGGAGGCTCTGTAGCACGGGAGCTGTACAACTATCATCCTCCACACACACACACACACCCCCCCCAGCTGTGAGGAGGCGTTGCCGAAGGGCCTTATTCTCCAAGCCGGAGCGGTAGACTGACAGCGCGCTGCAGCGGGGACCGCGCGCGGCGCTGAGCGTTTGACCGCGCTAACGGGCGATGACGGGTGGTCAGGGCCGCGGGGAGCTGCTGCAGGCGCAGGCGTGCGCAGCTGGCGGGGATGTTAGTGCGCCGGTCCGGGAGGCTCACAGTGATGGTTTAAAGCAGCTGCTCTCACTCACATCCCCCCCCAGGACTATTGCAGCCCCAAGAGGCCGCAATCCAGTTTGGAGTCCTCTCGGTTTCCCAATTACGGTCACTACAGTACTTATACTTATTCAAATTAGT